TTCTAGTTATTAAAGTTAGGAAAAGTCTCAGATTTATCTTTCAATAGATAGACCCACACTTTCCTAGTATAGTCATCGATAATAGATAGGAAATACCTATTCTCATCTGATGTGGGATTACTAGGAGGACCCTATAGATCAGAATCCACATATTCAAGTATGCCTTTAGCTTTATGAACACTAGTGCAGAACGATGTTTTATGATGCTTACCAAGCACACAGTGATCATAGAATGACAAATCACACACAGTCATTACCAAATGCACATTTTTCATTAAGTAGCTTAAGTCCTTAATGCTTACATGTGCAAGCCTATTATGTCATGTGTATGTGTGATCAACTTTGGCAGAAGAGATAGAAGAGTTGAAACCTCTAATCACTTCTCCAGTAGTGATGTAAATGTCATTTTTCTCTGTTCCCTTAATAGAAACTAATGCACCCTTAATTATTTTTAGCATACCATTTCCAATTTTATCAGTGAAATCATCTTTTTCAAGTCTCCGTACTGAAATCAAATTCCTAAACAATTCAGGAATATATCAAACGTCCTTTGTACACGAAGCTTGTGTCAAATTTTATATTTATGTCACTATTGCAGCAATCGTATAGACAAAGTTATCACATAGCACAACATGCCCAGCATTAGATTCATGCAAGTTATCAAACCAATTCTTTTCAGATGTCACATGAAAAAATACACCAGAATCAAGCATGCGCTCATGCATGCAGGAATTAGCAGTTAGATTCAATTCATCAATGTATGCAACGAGACTTGTAATCATATAGATCTCACCGTTATCTATATTGGAAGTAGAGGATAACGCATTGATCTCATCTCTCTCCTTGACCTTTAGCTTACCCATCTCCTTATAACAATCCTTTATAAAATGCCCCGTGTTTCCACAGCCATAGCATTTTCTAGCTTTAGTCCTAGATTTTGATCTAGATCTACCCTTGCCCTTCTTCTTCCATCCATTACTACTCGACTCGCCACCACTTTGGCATCCATCATGACTGTTTTGCCTAAACTAAGTTCTACCCTATATTATATGTAACTCACCACTTCTTTTATCATGTTTTTCAGCCCTAATATCCATTTCTTTACTCCTAAGAGAATCTATGACAATTTCAGGTGTCAACGTATTCCTACCATACTTAATAACATTTTTAACTTTCTTATAAGAGTCGGGAATAGAATTGAGCAAGATTATGGCCTTATAGGTTTTGGACACAGCCTCATCACAATTAACGATATCTTGCACTAGTTTGTTAAACACGTCTAAATTGTCATCGAGATTTTTTGAAGGATCCATTTTAAAACTGAAAAAATTTTCTAGTAGGTAAAGTTTATTCGGTGTAGACTTGAGTAATTACAGGTCTTCCAATTTTTTCCAAAATTCTTTGCTGGTTTTCAGTTTACTCACCATTCTTAAAATAGCGTCAGATTAGTGTAAAATGATTGAGTTATAAGCGAGCTCATCGGTTTCTTCCTTTTGTTTTTTTTTAAATCAGTTGAAAAATTGCTTTCAATAGCTTTTGAAACTTTTTGTTGGACTAAAATACCCTTCATTTTTTGTTGTTAGATTGAAAAATCACCTTTACCGTTAAAATCCCCAAATCAAAATTGTAAGTTGTCATTTTCACAGAATAGCTAAAAAATACGTAAACACAATCAAACCATACAAAGTAGTCCTAGGGTCACAGGCAGTATACTCTGTTCCAGATTCCCAGGATTTCGTAAGACTCGCGGTCTTAGATCATGGGAATGTTCGAACGGGTAAGGTCTCAATAATTCTAATAGAATTATTAAGCAGCGGAAGTAACAATGCAACAAAATATACGTCCAACAAATAACCAGTTTCACAGCAATTATATCACTAAGAACTAAACACTGATTTAACCAAAAACAGGCACTCAATCAATCAGTTAAAAGCAAGTAATCCTAATTTCTAGCACAAGCATTGGTTGCCAAGCAATGCCACCCCAATCCTAATGATCAACCCACAAGATGATTTTCTAGTGCCATAATGTAAAAGTTTTAGTCAATTTACCAGAGCAGACCTATCTGAATCCATAAAGTGGAGAGATGCGAATTTGCTGCTTTAGGGCCACAACTATTTGCCATAAAGATTAAGCAAATATGCCAATTCCAATCAACTACAAATGCAGATTGAGGTCAGTGGAAAAATCGTCCAAATTTTCCTGTGCAACCTAAAACACTAAACCAAACATATCAGTACGTTCAGGAGATTAAAATAAATGAAATGGCAAGAAAAAATCATGATAGAGGTCCTCCACGCGTCGCCGTCGCCTCCGCCACGCGCCGTCTCACAGGGGGTACCTCGAACTGCTGGTTGTGGGTCCGACCTCCGTTGGACGAACGAAGGTTTGATTTGAGAGTGATTGAAGTTTTCAGATTCGGTTAGATTGAAGAAATTGCCTATTTCTTCCAATTTTTGATCTTATTTTTTGCAAGATTATGATAGCCCAAGCTCTGATACGAGATGTTGAAGGTATATTGAGCACCAAAGCTTGTCTAGGCTCAATTTCTTTCAACTTCTAACACTACAACCTGACACCAACGACCTAAGACAATAACCAAGCTTCCACTTCCGGGTGCCAATGAGATAATTCACTTGGGAGACCACAAAGGTGCACTATATCTCATATATTATCACCACTATATGTAGAAATCAAAAGAAGGCAGAATGAGTAGAAGGAATCTCGTAGAAACCGGCCGAATAGAGAGAGGCAGAGGACGTCTCTCACCAAGATAGAAAGAAACCCATTTTATCAAGTAATAATGGCCCAAATATGGTAAGTGTAGCTAGGTTATTAGATGGTTCAATGTAGAGGCCCAATAAGTAAGTAAATGGGCTCGCAAGTAATCTCTTTCAATTATGGTCATCCAAGAAAGTGGATTGGGCCACAAGCAACACTAAATTATATAGGTTGCTTCGAGTGGCCTAATTAACCTTTGGGTCGTATCATCTCGATTGTGGTGCTAAATTTTCGTTCAGTCATTTAGCTAAGCCGACTAAAAAATAAAACCGGGTAACATTATAGCTCGGGGAGGTCATTTGACAACAAATTGCCTAACATTCACCGTTTACAATGTATAGCATGCGGAAATGGGTTTCTCGAGTTGGACAATAGATTTGGAAAACAAATTACAAGACAATAGAGCTCTAATGATCAATCCTTCTCAAGAGGAAGCAAGTCTTGATGAAAAATCTAGTTCAAGATTTTAGAAGGTTTTCGAAGACAATCCTACGACTCGAAATCAATTCCAGCCAAGTCTTGATCAACAGTCTAGTTCTCGATCCAATAAAGATTTATGAATGACCTCACTTTGAAGCCAAAACTAGCTTGTGAGTTGCAGAACTCGAAGTAAAATATGTGAGCTCGTGTTACAGGCGAATTCCACCGCTTTAGGGGTCACACATGTTGTACTAAATTACCAAAATTAGCTCATTAGAAATCCATTTAAATTGTTTAAATGAGTCTCGTTGGAGTCCTCGAACCATTAGTTATTAAATAAGATTTATTTTGAGAATCTTCACAGGACGTTGAGAAAATGAAAAACAATTCACCAAGAAACTTTGTTGCAACAAGAAAAGAAAGAAGAAAATAACTGGTCTTGGCGTGAATAAAGAAAATACGTCGTCTTAAAAATGCTATTTGCTCTCCCTCTATTAGATAGAGATGCTTTAGGTACTTCAAGCAAATGGCCTTGGCAAATTCTCTGAACCTTCATTCAGATTGTAAAAGCACAAATGAATTTCCAAAAAAGAATAATGATGTATAACATCAATGGTGTGAAAACACCAATCTGAATGTCATACTGTAATGTGATAGACTCAATTAAATGTTGTATTATGTGATTAATTTAAATAGCGTCTATCATTTAATGTCAATTAGATCGGTATTTTAATAGCATTGCTATTTTCTATTAATTTAAACCCATACGTAGTGAATGATCACTACAACATGAAAGGACAAGACACCTTTTGATGGCAAGAAAGCCAATTTCGTGCGCCTTATGCACAGGGGGTAGCTTGGGAGCACATTATACAGTAAATTTAGATTATAAACGATTTTTATGCATAAAATAATAATCTTACCTTATTGTAAACAAGGGAAAGTATTACTAAAATCGTAAATAGTTTTAAGCTTTGAACCCGTCGTTTCTTTTGACAATACCGTCAATGTCACACTTGAATATTCAAGTTCCATATGGTACCAAATTTGATGATTTACTCAATATTCAGTGTTAGCATCTTTTGATCTTTTAGGTTTTAGTGATTATAAGCGAGAAGCCGGATGTGGCATGGGGATTGGCCCATGTCTTTGATTCAAATGGTATTATTTTCATCAAATGTAACCAAATCCCTTTGAATTAATCCTCCTTTTTTTTTAAAACCGTGGTTAGAGTGGGAAAAAAAAAAGAACTGGTATTATCACAAAAAAAAAAGACTGTTTGACAATCATTATAATGAAAAATTCGGGTAAAATGTATTTTGAAATAATAGTTTTTGAAAAAAAATGTGTAGTTAAAAAGAGTAATGCTATGTAGTCCCAATGGGGCTAAATAGCATTACTCGATTAAAAAAAAGGATTTTTTTTATTTACATGTAATATTATTTTATTGAAGAATATATGGTTGAAAAGAAGAGAGAAAATGTATTAAAATTTTAGAATGTATCAAACAAGTGCTTAGTTTCCTGGAAGGAAAATGATAGTCTGCCAGGGTCATTTGCATAGACCCTGGCCGGAATATCTCTCAAACAAGGGGATCCACACCCATTTTTTAAGGACAAAAAAATGCCCACCCTCTCATAGTCTGGCCAGGGTTTGTGCAAATGACTCTGATAGACTAGCATAGTCCATTTAAGAAATATCCTTTGTACCTAAAGGAATTTCATAAAGAAGCTCCCTTAGCCATTCGGTCTATTTTCTTGTTTTAGCCAATGCTACAAATTCATTTATTGTAATTTCTACAAAAATGGGGTGCAAATTCCCCGCCAGTAATTTTCCTTTTCCTTTCTGATGTCTAAATCAACTTACAGAAGTCAATATTTGTCTTCATCAGATCCTCTATATAATTGACGAGATAAATGGGACTTCTTACATAATCAAAAAGGCAACTGAAAAACATTCCCTCGGAAAAATCATTTCTCACTTTAAAAACCATGATTTCTCATTCAAGAATTTTGCTAATCATGTTGCTTGGGGCAATGTTAATGTAAACAATGACCGAATTAGCATTGCAGCGCTGGGGCATTTCAGGTTGTCAAACCAGATGTGGAGATATCGATGTCCCCTTTCCATTTGGCTTTGGTCCAAATTGCAGTCTTGATGAATCCTTCTTTATTACTTGCAACGAAAGTTACAACCCTCCCAAGCCATATCTAAACTTGGGCGAAATTGAAGTTATTGACATATCACTTCTTGGCCAAATGAGCATTGCAGCTTCAGTGGCTAGTGATTGTTATGACAAATCTGGCTCCCCAGTCAATGGCAGCATCTCAGAGCTCGCCTTATCCGAATTCCATATTTCAAGTACACAAAACGAGTTCACTGTCATTGGGTGTGACACTCATGCATATCTTCAAAGCTCCGATAAATGGAAGCAAAGGAGTGTCGGATGTGTATCTTTGTGTGGTGATATCAAAGACGTGGTTAATGGATCCTGTTCTGGCATTGGTTGCTGTCAGTCTTCGATTTCTAAGGGACTTAAGGACTTTTCGATTGATATTACAAGTTTTCAAAATCACTCTAGGGTGGAAACTTTCAATCCATGTGGCTATGCTTTTGTGGTTGAAGCAGAGGCTTTTAAGTTCTCGTCTTTGGATCTCAAGGACTTACAGAAGCAGAAGACTGTTCCAGTTGTGCTCGACTGGTCGATAGGAAATGTCACATGCCAAGTGGCTCAAAAAAACCTTTCAACCTCTGCTTGTGGAGCTATGCATAGCCAATGCATTGATTCAAGCAATGGACTCGGTTATCATTGCAGTTGTTCAACAGGATTTGAAGGGAATCCTTATCTCGTCGATGGTTGTCATGGTAATAATAATTTTTGCACAATTTTGTTTTGTTATCGGTATATTTGTTGTTACTATGTGCTTACAAATAGATTGGGCTTCGTTCCAGATATTGATGAGTGCATTTCAACACCTTGCGAAGGAACCTGCATAAATACGCTGGGAAGCTATTTATGTTCTTGCCCAACGGGGTTTGAAGATGATGGAAGGAAAGATGGCACGGGTTGTCATCCCAAACATCAAACTAAGATCCCTAACTTGATGTATATTGCTTCTGGTAAGCTGTTTAGTTTTTGTGCTCGCACTTAATTAATAGAAAGGAACATAATTTTGATAATATTTAGGATCTATTTGATATGTTTAGAGGACATGATGATTCGAAACTATGTTGACAGTGAAGAAGGATTTACCAAAAAATTTCCACTTTTCCAACAGGTCTCATTTTTCCTGCTGTTGGAAGTTCTTGGATATTTTGGGTAAGCAAGAAAAATAAAGTCATTAAACTAAGACACAAGTATTTCATGGAAAATGGTGGGTTAATTTTACAAAAAATGCTATCTGGTTTGGAAGGACTTGAAATTTTTACAGCAGAAGATCTCAAAAGGGCAACAAACAACTACGATGAAACTACAGTAGTTACCGGAGATAGATACTATAAACCCATGGTATACGAAGGAACATTACCAGACAATGGAAAGAACAAACTTTTCTTTATACTGAGGTATAGAACAGTTGATTCGATCTACATTCATAATTTCATTAGTAAATTGATCAAAATTTCTCGCGTAAAGTACAGGAATGTGGTACGGTTGATTGGTTGTTGTTTGGAGACACCAGACCCGTTTCTAGTTTACGAGCTTTTCGCTGGTAAGACGTTTACAATTCTATTCGTGATCAAGTAAATTTTCTTTCATGGGACCGTCTTCTCCAGATAGCCTTTGACACGACTAGATCTGTTGCATTCTTGCATTCTAACTGTGGGGTTGCTCATGGAGACATCACAAGCTTGAGCATAGTACTAAATTCTGTTTACAACGTAAAAGGTTCATTGCCTTTACTCAGTGAATGGTCGGATACATATGGCTACTGGAATACTGAAAAGTTAAATACATGGAAGAAGTTGACAGAAGAAAGTGATGTATATAGTTTTGGAGTTGTACTCGCAGAGCTATTGACAGGAGATACGGTGATAAATTTTCGAGAAGCGGACTATTTTTTTCTGCAATCAGAGAAGATCGCCTACCTGAAATTCTTCCACCTCGTTTGGTCAGCGAGGCTAATATTGAGCAGCTGAAACACGTTGCTATGCTTGCAGAGAGGTGCTTACGACACATCTGGGGAGACACCAAAAATGGAGGAAGTGGCAATGGAGCTAAAAGTTGTTTTAAGTACGCTTTAGCTCGGTAAAGATAGAGCGCAACTCAATCTTAGCACTCAAACTGGTAAATCTTGCTCCACTTATCAAAGCCAAAATCAAGAAATAATGAACTAAATTAATGTTAGTGCATTTTCTTATGTACCATTAGCAACTTTGAGAACAAATGAGTAAGTAAATAGATGGTCAAGACAAAAAAGATAGCAGTTACTAACCTTCTCTGGCATGCCGTAGAACATTAAATGAAACAGTGAAATGCTGTGGTCCTTGAGATACATAAGACCAATTGCTTTAGGCTGTATTCTTGACAAAATGATAAGATTTTATTTGTTATTTGCCTTAATGATTAGGATATATGTAACTTGAATATGCTGGCCAACAATATAGATAATGTTGAAATGTCATGGAAAATACATTATTACTGATTCTACCAAAAAATATCACTTGAAAATCTCGAGCTCGATGGCTGGGATGAAACACGAACAGCATCTTCTAGTACCTGAAACAAAGGCAACGAGGTGTGTGCTCGTCGCCCCTTCGATGCTTAAGTCAGACAGGGAATTTTATGCGTGAGGCTATAAACTGAAGATAATAATGAAGAACGTACCTTTGGAATGAGTACAGGTTGTGTATTTATAGGTGTTAGTGGCTGAGTCCTAGGAGGACTGATCCTGCCACAATCCTTCTCCTCGTAGGAAAAGGGGTTGGTGTTTCACTTCGTATTCGAATCATTATTTGAGTCAAAGAGGGAGTCTAAGAAGATAGGGATTGTGTTCGAGGTAGGATTAGAGTTTCCATAGGTTACGTATGGAAGTTATCTAGTCAGCTTAGTACCCCGACCTCATACACCCGATCTGGTTTTGGTCGTTTTAGGTGATGCCAAGGTCGGGGTTGAAGGCGGTGGTCGGGCTCAAGAGGTCGGGGTTCATATACTGACGATATCTGGTATAATCACAGGCCCCCGTGCATCGAGGTCGTAGAGGCCGTTTCATTCTGGTCTACGAGTGAAGATGTAGAGGAGCGAACGTCCAGATGTTTCTCCATGTGTCGAGTGTTGGATGGGATGTCAGTGACGATCTCAGATGGCCGCCACGTGTCATGTTAGAGCACGACCTTAGATTCTCGCCACGTGTCTTGGTCCAAGGGGTGAGATTGCACGACCGTTGGTATTCCTCAGTCCCCTATAAATATCCAATTTTCACTCTCATTTTTTTACTTTTACCTCTCAACTCCCAGTAAATCGAGCTCGAGTTCGGGGATTAGTAGGGTTTGTGAGCGACTATCCACAGAGGTAAGAGTTCGAGCCCTTAAGTTGTTTTATTTGATTATAGCATAATGTCGAGTAGTGGCAGCACAGGGTCAAGTAGTAGTGACAGTAGTCAGGCTCCCAGGGACTCGAACCATAGTGATAGGCCTGAAGATGTAAATACGTCCATTATACCTATGGCTATCCCCATTAACTCCCATAACGACGTCCTGACCTACCCCAAGGAACTGACTAAGTATAAAGAACATGTAATTATTAAAATAGCTAGAGAGTTTGGGGTTATGCCAATTTGTGATATTAGAGCCCCAGGGCCAACTGAGACCGTGTTAGGAGCTTGAGAGGGGGAGATGACCTTTTTTAGGGATGCTCTTAAGGCCGGGCTTAGGTGGCCTCTTCACCCGTTTTTCATTCATTTTCTGACCTCGTACTTCCTGTGTCCAGGTCAACTAGCCCCGAACGGTTGGAGGTTATTAGTGTATTTCTTCATATTATGTAGATGTCTCGAGGTTGAGCCTAGGGTCGACCTACTTCGAATGGTGTTTGATATAAAGTTTTCCCCGGGGTATAATTGTTTTGTCTATTTATCAACAAGGGGGGGTTTAGAACTCCTGATACCCCGAGCTCACTTAGAGGTTGGAATGAGCGTTTTTTTTGTGAAACCTCAAGACCTCGATCATCCATTTAGCTCGAGGTGGGAGATCCCTGACAAAGATAGGTTTAACGAAGGTCAGGCCTATTTTGAGGTTTTAGAGAGAGATAGGTTGAGGTTAGTGAATCACGACCCCCTTGCAGACAAGATTGATTTCTTGCTTGAGGACGACACCCTCGACCTTGCTAACGTGAAAGGCCTCGAGGGTACGATTTTTCTTTTTATGCATTATTTGATATTTCATGGATAATCATCGACCTATAATTCGAGCTAATGCCTTTATGTTTTTGTTTGTAGAATTCGAGATGTCTTTCGATCCATCAGCCCTATTGGAGAACGTTCATAAGAAGGCCAAGGGCCCGAAATCAAAAGCCTCGACTACGGCTTCGTTTAAAGGGAAGAAGCGGGCAAGGGAGGCCACCCGTCCGACCATGGTGGACTTGGGGCAGAGCTCACAAAACCCGACCCCTTCGAAGCATCCAACCCCTCAACCACAAGTCCGAACTCGAACCCCTTGTTATGGGTCGGACCTCTTAGCCGATGATGACGACCATATGCCAATGAAGTCGCTCGAGGAGTACGCCGAATGTGCTCTTATTCAGGGCATAGTTGAAAAATATGAGAAGGAGGTCGATATGAACGAGGGAGTTCGGACTCTAGAGCTCCTTACACTGAAGGTACGTTTTTAATATGAATGCTGGTGTAGCCCTAATCGATTTCGTAATTTGTACTCACGTCGACCTTTATACATGTAGTTGCAGACATTAAGTGTTGCTCGAGGTCTTGGGCTCAAGGGTTTGAATTCTTCAGATCGCATAGCCGAGCTCGAAGTGCTCGAAGTCAAGAGCGAGGTGGCGTTCAAGAGGGCAAAAGAGCTGGAAAAGGCCCTGGAGGCGGCCAAGGTGGACCTTAGGAAGGCAAAGGACGAGGTCGAGTTTGCTAAGGGCGAAGCAGAGGAAGCAAAGCTTGAGCTCATTCACTCACGCAGCTCTTTTGAGGCTGAGCTCGCGAAGGTTCAAGCTGAAACCCGAGCTCAGGCCATTGATGACTTCAAGAAGTCTGATGAGTTCAAGACTCTCCTGGGTCAGTATGGGTCAGGCTCGTACTACTATGGCTTGCGACTAGCTCGGTCGTTCCTTAGGACGAAGCTCCCTGAAGATTTGAGGCCTATAGTGGAGGAGCTAAAGAATGTGAACGAGTTCGCTAAGGACCTCGAGCTATCCTCCTCCGAGGGTGATGGGGATGATGAGGATGACGATGCTGGAACCCCCGACAATGGAGGGGATAGTGAGCACATCGACCTAGACTAGACCTTCCCCGACCCCAAGTTTTGTAATAATTTTTTTTTGCTGATGTTTTCTGCCCGATCTGGGCTCATGTACTTTGGCTTTTTAATATATGCAAAAGTTTATTGCCCGAAGTGGGCCTCTGTCTTTCATCAGTTCATGCGTTTTATCATTCAGATCATGTGTTGATATTGTATTGTAATTTTGAATTCGCGTAGAGTATTTCGGGTGTTCTTTTGAGTTCAGTGATGTACCTTAGGGAGAAATTAGATTGCGCACTAATGTCGAACTTTTGTTCATGTCGGGGGTTGACCCCAATATTTAAGTTCGGTGGTGTACCATTGGGGGAATAAGATCGTGCACTAGTGTTTAGTTCTTGATATATAAGTTCGATGGTGTAACATTTAGGGGAACAAGATCGTGCAAGGGAAGATCCTAACATCTAAACTCGGTGGTGTACCTTTGGGGGGAACAAGATCGTGCACTAGTGTTATAGTTCATATCAAGGATTTTAGGGTAACACCTAAGTTTGGTAGCATTGGGGGAAACTATATTGATATCGACCCGACCTCGATCTTAAGATTTATGCATTGCAAAGCATTCTGGGATCTTTTTAAGGTCGGGGATAATGGTACGTACTATGACACGACCTCGAGCTAAAGATTTATTCGTTTAACGCCAGTCTGGGATCGATGAGGTCGGGCTAATATGCTCGACCTACCTTAGCTTGAAGTCTTGTGTGGTATGGGTTAACACCAATTTTAGTAAAGATATTACCTGCATGTGCGGGGTACGGCCTTATGCTAATTTAGTAAAAGTATCAGCTGCATGCATGGGGAACGGCCTTACGCTAATTTAGTAGAAGTATCAGCTGCATGCGCGGGGCACGACCTTACGCTAATTTAGTAGAAGTATCAGCTGAATGCGCGGGGCACGACCTTATGCTAATTTAGTAAAAGTATTAGCTGCATGCGCGGGGCACGGCCTTATGCTAATTTAATGGGGATCAATATCATAAAAAACTTGTGTTATGTAAAAGGCTCAAGGGTGTTGCATACCCGAGCTTATTTGAACATGAGCTAACTGGGCATTAGAGCCCGAAAAGTAAAAACGAAACTAAGAAAACATGAAGCGGGCATGCAAGCCCTAAAGGAAAAATTAATAGCTATAGCTAATTACTTGTAATATACTTTTAGATTGTTGGCGTTCCATGGCCTTGGGAGTGGATTCCCTGATGTATCTCTAAGGCTATAAGCTCCCCCTTTAAGTTTTCTTATGACCTCATAAGGTCCTTCCCATGTTGGCCCAAGTTTCCCTGGTTGATGCCCGGCGGCTTCTGCTTTCCTTAGGACAAGATCGCCGGCTCTAAATCTTCTGTTCTTGACCTGCTTGTTGAAGTGCTTCGCCGTTCTGTTTTGGTAACTTGCAGTCCTGAGGGAAGCTTGCTCCCTTACCTCCTCAAGTAGGTCGAGATGTTCGGTAGTCTATGTCTCCTTATTTGTCTCGAGCTTTCTTATTGTGGGGAGGCTAACCTCAACTGGAATGGTAGCCTCAAGTCCAAAAGCTAGCATGAATGGCGTTTCACCAGTTGCTGTCTTGTGTGAAGTCCTATATGCCCACAGTATCGAAGGCAGCATGTCAGGCCAGTCACCTTTAGCGTCCCCTATCCTTGTTCGGAGGTCTTGCAATATGATCCGATTAGTTACTTCGGCTAGCCCATTACTTTGTGGATGTTCGACCGAGGTCAGGCGATGATCAATCCCACTGCTGGTGCAGAAGTTCTTGAATTGGGGATTGTCAAATTATCTTCCATTATCTGTGATGAGGACTTTTGGTATCCCGAATCTGCATATGACGGATTTCCATATAAATGATCTGAGCTTCGGTTCTGAAATTGTTGCTAGAGGTTCGGCTTCTACCCACTTAGTAAAATACTCCACTGCCACAGCTACAAATTTTAATTGTCCTCGGGCCAAGGGAAAAGGCCTAAGAATATCAACTCCCCATTGCTCGAAGGGAGTTGAGTAGTGAATGGATGTCAGTTCCTCAGCAGGAGTATGTATGATGTTGCCAAACCTTTGGCACTTGTCGCACCTCCGGACGTAATCTGTGGCATCTTTCTTCAGAGTTGGCCAGTAGTATCCATACCTTATCAACTTATGTGCCAGAGCTCGGGCTCCTTGGTGATTTCCACAAATACCTTCATGAACTTTAGTCATTGCCTGAAGGGACTCGGAGGGTCTGAGACACCTTAGATAAGGGAGTGTAAGACTTCTGCGGAACAGGACTCCTTCGATCATGCAATATCTAGCAGCTCTATACCGAATGCTTCGGGCAAGCCGAGGGTCTGCAGGAGTGTTGCCATTACTTATGTAATCAACTATTGGATCCATCCAGGAGGGCTCATGGTCGATGTCCATGATACTGGGTTTCTGGGCTATACTTGGTTCTGCAACCATCTTGATGTGGACGGTTCCATCGAGCCCGTCAACACCCATGAAGACGAGTCTGGATAACACATCGGCTTTGGCATTTTCGGCTCTGGCTACCTTCAGAATTTCACAACTTATGAACTACCTCTGGAGGTCATGTGCTTTCAAACAATATAGGCTCATTTTTTCCTCCTTTCTTTCAAAAGACCCCTCGATTTGCCCGACCACTAGTTGTGAGTCATTGAAAACTTTGACGTGCTCTCACTCAAGATTTTTCGCTAGCTCTAGGGCAATTACAACGGCTTCGTACTCTGCTTCGTTATTGGTAGCCTGGAACTCAAACCTGAGAGCGCATTGTATCTCCGTAATCTTGTCCGGACTTGTGATAATAATGCCGGCCCCCGAGCTCGAGCTATTGGATGCTCCGTCAACAAATATTTTCCATACTCCTGAGGTCGAGTTCGGGCTCCCGGCCGGTGTTTCTGAGGATCTCGGAGTGAGCTCTACTATGAAGTCGGCCAAAGCTTGGGCCTTGATTGCAGGTCGTGGCTTGAATTCTATGTCAAATTCGCCTAGTTCAATTTCCCATTTCAGCAGTCTCCCTGAGACGTTCGGCTTCTGAAGTATATGTCTGAGAGGTTGGTTGGTGAGCACAACAATTGGATGTGACTGGAAGTATGGCCGTAGCTTTCTTGCAGCCACTACTAAAGCTAGGGCGAGCTGTTTTGCAAGTGTGTATCGTGTTTCTGCATCAAGGAGTACTTTACTAACATATTAGATAGGTTGTTGAACTCTTCCTTTTTCCTTTACCAAGACACCGCTTACTGCGTTCTGAGAAACTGCCAAGTATAATAGCAGCGTGTCACCGGGTTCGGGTTTAGTAAGGATTGGAGGTGTTGATAATGTCTGTTTAAGCTCCTGAAAGGCTAGGTTGCATTCCTCGTTCCAGTCGAACCCTTTATTTCCCCTAAGTAGTTTGAAAAAGGGGGAGCACTTGTCAGCTGCCCGGGAAACAAACCTGTTTAGTGCTGCTATGCGACTTGTCAACTTCTGAATTTCCCTTTTGCATTTAGGGGCCTCCATATTTATCAGAGCTTGAATTTTATCAGGATTTACGAGGTTTTCTCTTGATCTTCTTTTGCCATAAGGATTTGGTGATACCCCGAGAAAGCATCCAAGAAGCTGTACAGCATATGACCTGACGTGCTATCCACGAGATTATCAATTCTGGGCAGGGGATAACTGTCTTTGGGGCATGCTTTATTCAGATCTGTGAAGTCAATGCAAACTCGCCACTTTCCATTAGCTTTCTTGATAAGAACCACATTGGCAAGCCATTCGGGGTATTGTACCTCTCGAACGAACTGAACATTAAGGAGTTTGGTAATCTCCTCTTTTATGACTTCTCATCTTTCCGGTGTAAATGGCCTCTTCCTTTGCTTCATAGGTCTTGCTTTCGGGTTCACGTTAAGTCTATGTACTGCAACATCTGGGTCAATTCCAGGCATGTCCTCGACATTCCAAGCGAACACATCAATGTTCCGGGAGAGACAGCTTAAAAGTTCAGCCATGATCTCCGCATCTAACCCTCGACCAACTGTCACTTTTCTTCCGGGCTCGATCTCGACCTCCTCCAATCCTTCTACAGGAGCTAACCTTCCGTAATTTTCATGCTCGAGATCGAGCTCCGTGACTTGCATGATGTCATTTTTTATTTTTCGAACGCTGGTCACATAACACTGTCGGGCCACCGTTTGGTTGCCTCGCACTACCCCGGTGCCATTAGGAGTAGGGAATTTCATAGCCAGGTAAAAAGTTGAGACAATAGCTCGAATTCTGTTGAGCATTGGTCTTCCCAATATGGCGTTGTAAGCCATCGACGTACGGACAACTTCAAAGGTAGTGATCTGAGTTACCTGCTTACCTTCGGTTCCCAATGTTAAGGGTAATCCGATGATACCTTCTGGGTGATGACCCCACCTCCAAACCCTTGCAGGGGTGTTTTTACTGGCTTTAGTTGTTCTGACGAGATCCCCATTTGAACAAAAGCTTCGTGAGACAGTACGTTTTCTGCACTTCCGTTATCTACCAGAATTCTCTTGACTTCAAAGTTGGCGATGATGGCCGATATGACAAGGGCATCATTATGGGAAAATGCTATGCCTTCCAAGTCATCCATCCCGAAATTGATGTCCTTTGTACGACCAAGATCTGGTCTTGAAGTGATCGGTGGCTGTCTAGCATACCGTTTTCGCCCATTGCTAGAGTCTCCTCCCGAGGCTGTTCCTTCGACAATGATATTGATAGTGCCTGCAGTTGGTTGCTTGTTTCCCCGATCCTCTGGGCCTTTTCCCCCATTCTAGTTATTCCTCGGGCATTTGTCATTGTTAATGTAAGAGCTCAAAAATCCTCTTCTTATAAGAGCTTCGATTTCCAGCTTTAAGGCTAGACAATCTTCCGTAGTATGGCCGTGATCTCTGTGGAAATCACAGTATTTGCTCTTATCACGAGTATCGGGGGGAGACCGTCATCGGGGAGGCCATTTCAGTTCCCTAGAGTCCTTGATTTCCATCAGATGTTGGACCTCGAAGTGTACGGTGGGTAAAAGCCGTTGAAGGTGGATCCTTCCTTGGTTTAACCTTAGATGTCTCTTGTCTTAAGCTGGACTCATGTGGCCTTTTCTGATCCAACCTTCCTGATGAGGTAACTTCCCTTTTTGGGGCCATGGTTTCTTCCATATTGATGTATTTCTCAGCCCGTATGAGTAGCTCGGTCACTGACTTCGACGGGGTTTTAGACAAGGACATTTTGAACGCTTCGCACTTAATGGCGTAAGTCAGAGCTGAGACTGCAGCTGTAATATGTAGGTCGGGGATCTAAAGCCTTTCTTTGTTGAACCTGGTCATGAAACTGCGCAGTGTTTCGTTGGGTCCTTGACGCATCTGCATGAGCGATGCAGCTGTCTTTCTGATTCTTTTGCTGCTCGCAAAGAAAGCGGAGAACTTGTCAGCCAAATCTGAAAAGGAGGTGATGGAGTTTGGTTCTAATGTGGAAAACCAATCTCTAGCCGCATTCGTGAGGGTTTGAGGGAATGCCTTGCACATTACCGCATCTGGTGCAACCTGTAAGTTCATGATGTCCGTGTATACATTGAGATGGTTGATGGGGTCGGTTGTCCCATCGTACTCCTTTATCCGAGGATACTTGAACCTATCGGGAATGGGGTACGAGAGGACTTCCGGAGTGAATGGTGTATTGGGGGTGAAACCTGTTGCTGCTCGAGTATTTTGTTGCATACCCGCTGCTATCCCTTCTTGAATAATTCTTGCAAGTTCGGCGGAGTCTATTGTAACGGACCTTGAACCTGATGCAACTTGTGGTACCCCTGAGGTTCCAACCCCCCCGTCATCATGGGTTGCATGATGAACTCGAGTTCGGGCATCTGCCATAAAGCCACCTTCAGGTGTTGGGGTGTGAGATGGATGTGAATTTCTCTGACTTAGCAGTTGGGTCAATGCAACCACCTGCTGACGGAGTTCCTCAAAAGCTCCGGCGGAAACAGCAGCTTGAGGAGGTGCTGGCATCTCCGACGACTCTTCTTGAGGAATATGGTGTCCTTCAGGAGGTGGGGGGTTATCCGGGACGGATGAGCTTGCTGGAGGAAGACCTGAACGTGTATTGACCATGGCTTTTGGTAGCGAAGATTCCCACAGACGGCGCCAATAATTCTACCAAAAAATATCACCTTAAAATCTCGAGCTCGATGGCTGGGATGAAACACGAACAGCGTCTTCTAGTACCTGAAACAAAGGAAACAAGGTGTGTGCTCGTCGCCCCTCCGATGCTTAAGTCAGACAGAGAATTTTATGCGTAAAGCTATAAATTGAAGATAATAATGAAGAACGTACCTTTGGAATGAGCACAAGTTGTGTATTTATAGGTGTTAGTGGCTGAGTCCTAGGAGGACTGATCCTGCCACAATCCTTCTCCTCGTAGGAAAAGGAGTTGGTGTTTCACTTCGTATTCGAATCATTATTTGAGTCAAAGAGGGAGTCTAAGAAGATAGGGATTGTGTTCAAGGTAGGATTAGAGCTTCCATAGGTTACGTATGGAAGTTATCTAGATAGCTGAGTACCCCGACCTCTTACACCCGATCTGGTTTTGGTGGTTTTAGGTGATGCCAAGGTCGGGGTTGAAGGCGGTGGTCGGGCTCAAGAGGTTAGGGTTCATATACTGACGATATCTGGTATAATCAATTACAAAAAAATGTTTTCTTTACATGTTTCTGATATTTAGTCTATAGCCAAGGCTGTACATCCCACCACCTTCAGAGATAAGGCATCTCGATTCTCTCTCTTTGCACAAGTCATTCGCCAATCCCTCCTTTGGCGAGGTCCATTAAAAATAGGCAACCCCCCATAGAATTTTGTTTGGAGTCCTGAATCAAGCAACAGAATCCAAGGTATTGTTTCACTCTTGTTGCCGATGTGTTTATTATTTGATTGCATAGTGATCAATTTTTTGTAAATAAGCTGCAGGGATTTTTCCTTAACAGTAGTCTCAATTCTACTGGAAGTCTGGAAACCTTCTTAATGGCAACTGTTAGATACTTGCAGCAGAGAAATATCGTCAAATTGTATTTTTATACTTGAAAGCTGTTTCGAGATATTCAATGCCGAGGTTCCATTCTTGTCTGAAATTAATTGCTGTTTTGAGATGTCAGTCCAATTTTTTAGTGTAAAAAAATGTGCAATTTTTTATTTATTTATTTTTTTTTCTCAACTTGTAGTTCGATTTTGGAACCGTCTAATGTGGAGTGGGTTGGCCGCCCCTAGCAATAGACATTAGTTAGATTTCCATTCCAATCTATTTATAGCTTATATGATAATTCATTAAAAATGATCATTTTAGTTGAAAAGTTTGAATGATAAAAAATTTAAATTAATTTACGAGCAATTTAGTTTAGGTGAAAAGAATAACAAGTTATTAACATTTCATCATACTGCATTTGAAAATCACACGTCCAACTTTAATACGGATTAAACACTTAATTTTGCTCATCGGGATAAATAATACTATGAAGCAGAGCAATCAAAAGTAATAAAATAGTTCATCCTCGCTATAGTTATGTCCATTTGTCGATTTAGGATTTTACCAGATCAAAGAAGGATTACAGTGTGTTTTTTTATTATTTATTATTATTTTATTTCACTTGCTTTCTATTTTTTTCTGTACACCAAGAAAAATAAAGGCTCATTGTGCCATTTATATAGGAGAAAATATTATGGGAATGGTACATATCTCAGGCATCTACTATTCACCATTTCATGTTTAAGAAACAAACTTTTTAAAACTTCAAAACTCAGATGATAAATCATATATAGTATATATATATATATATATAATAAATCTTAATAAATATACTTCCTGAAATAACGTTAACGATCACCATACTCTCCAGAACAACGAATCCATACAAATCACGAAAATCGAACATGCTACAATACCTGGGCCTATGACTGGTTGGTCCCCTGCCAATACTAATGCTTATTTGGACCATTCTTGCATGGGATATATATGCTGCGTAATTAATGCAGAGTACCATACTCCAATAATTATTTTGTGTGCAAATGTATCAAAATACATCTTGCCTAACTAAAACTGTTTGAAGATTAAATTTTAATAATTAATAAGCTTTTAGATTAGGTTAAGAAGGGGACGGTGGACATCTACTTAACTTCTAAAGATGTTTAAACATACGTTGGCTGTAGCATTAGGTAATGGTACTTCGATAATTAGTATGTGAGGAGCAAAGCGAAAACAAATACTAGAATCTCTAGCAACATATGGAAAAAGAAGTGTTATACTCCAGCTTTAGATAGTCTTAACTAGAAAACCGAGATAAATGTACTGAATAATAAGTATGAACATATAATACGGCCACCTAGATAAAAGTAGTAGTTCAAATGACATAAAAATAGACCCCATAGTACTACTACTCGTTGCGTAACATCTTTACTTACCGTAAAAATTAACATCCCCAACCATTCTGACTTGACTATACTAATTGGAATTTGCTAGTCAAACAGGGCCATTGACAGGTAGAGGTGTTGCCACTACACTAATTGGGATTTGCCGGTCAAACAGGGCCATTGACAGGCCGATGTGTTGATTATGTATGAGCGAGCCCCATGTGTTGCAAGATTGAGGGTCGAGGTCACGTCACCTTGACTTGGATTTAAACTTGGGATTTAATCTTGGGTTGTGCAGCAGAGTTCATACTAATTATAAACTTAGCCACATATCTTTCGAGTCCAGTGTCTGGTAAAATAATAATAATAATAATAATAATAATAGCTTTTTTTACTTTTCTTTTTAAAATTACTTCCTATATTACTATTAATTTTTCAGTAAAATCGATTGAATATTCGGCTTGTTGATCTGAAGTTATTGACAAAAAATTGTTTAAGACGCTTTCTAAAGGAGAATCCATGAAGGACAAAAGGCGAGTGGGCCCATTTATTTCAATTTCAAGACGAGACTGACACGTAATTGTTACTTTGGTACATGGATCCATCCCTATGGACCCAATTATTGTCCTTTCATTACACCTATAAATCTTATCCCTATCATAAAAAAGCACTTATTTTCAGTTTGAATGGATTATTTGCTCATAAGTCATAAAAGAATACCGGAAACCGAGAATATAAAATGATAAAGTGTAAATTACCACGTGAAATTCAACATATAGTAGAATGATTTAAAACTAAATTTATTTTGGAAGTTCAAGAATTATTAAAATCGATTAAAACATTGAAATCTTCACATGTTAAAATGTCGAACAAAGGAAAAATGCATTCATAAAATGTGAAGAAGTGTACAAAGTACACAACACGTCACTTATGTTGTCAATGATATAAACATTATGAGATAAAACGTATCACAATTGAACTCATCCCCCTCCTCTGTTTTTTTTTTTTTTGGTATTCACCTTACGGTGACTAAATCCTGGAGTCTACACCTTGGCCCATCAAGTTTCAGATAAGTTAAACCGCAAGTTGTGCTTTAAACCGACCAGTGTTCAAGAGCCCCCAACTGATCTGCCAAAGTGCCAAACAAGTCGTTTTCCATCTTTACACCTTACCTTCTAGTAGAGCTCCTGCCTTCCACCTCCTCTGTTTTGGTTTTTACATGTGTGGGTGTGGCTACACACAAAAAGTTTCCTTAGGAGTAATTAAGTAACTTTCCAAATAATTTTTTAATTAGGAAAAATAACATATTTCAATATATTTGCAAATAAATTATTATTTAAAACTAACTTTTATATTTTTATTGCATGAAGTTATGCGAAAGTAACAATTCTAGGTGGATTACTAAATTTTATAACCCACAATTTCATTATAATTTATACTTTTATTTCAGTCAAATCTATCAATCTGTTTATGTTAACTTGCCAAACGACCTATGGCATTGGTTTGCTAAAAGCCCGATGAGATTGGTGTTAACAATTGACAATGTTGCAATACTCAGAGAAGGTTGGAATTTGCTTCTTCGTAAGTTAGAAGCTAAAGTTTTAATTATTTTGAATACAATAGTACTTTATAGGTGGGTTGTAACATCTCACAAAAATAAGGAGACCTATAAACTTGCCTCTCTTGCTATGACGAGTCCGTGAGTATAATGGATAGAAATTGGATTGGTTGTGTGTCATATTCATATCGTCTCTTCTTCTAGATCATTTACAATATTTTCTTATTTTGACAAATTTAATTTATTGAATCTAGTATTTTATAAAAATATCCATCTAAATTGTTTCCATTGTACTCAAACCAAATCAAACCCAACATCATCCCAAAATTTTTCATTGCATACATTCCATGTATATTTTTTAAAATTTATGAAAATGTAATTATTTAAAGATACCACATCTTGAAAGACTTCTTTCAAAGATTCGGACATATATAGGAATTTGAATAGTATTTATGTACAAACTTAGTGAATCACCTAATCTTAAGTAGACTGTGAAAGAAAAGAAATAGGATAAATCCCTTAGAAAGGGGAAAAAAATATCAAAATTAACAAACTTGAAGGTTATTGTTAAATTAATAAATTATTTATTTATCGATAAATAATAACTTTTTTAATAGCGAAAATATTTATTACGAATTATGATTTGACCTTTGGAGATGAATTTTTGGTAGAACAATTACTTATTCACCCGTAACTATTAAAGACCACAAAAATAGAACTTTTACATACAAAATAGTTCTATAGAGTAAATTTAACCAATAATCACTGAACTTTACATTTGATTACTACTTGTTCACTCATCTTTCACATATTACTGAATGCTCACTCATCTTTTCATATAATTACTCATTCACCACTCGTCTCTTCAAATAATTGGGCTACTTTTACGGCAAATTTTCGACAACTTCTGATCACAAAGAATGTTGAATTTTGATATCGTTGGAAAGCCCACGATGTCCTCTTCAATTACCATCCAAAATCTCATTATAATTTCAAGGGATTCGATCGAAAAATTGCCTTAAAAGTCGCCCAAAAAATCTGAAAATCTGCCCAGATTTTCAAATTTTTTGGGCGACTTTTAAGGCAATTTTTCGGCAACTTTCGACCATCAAAACTATCTAATTTTGATACCATTGGAAAGCCCAAAATGTTCCCTTCAATTACCACCCAAAATTTCCCGATAACTCCAAAGGATTCGGTCGGAATAAACCCACAAAGTCAGCATCCCGAACTTTGTCCAGATTTTCGCCTTTTCAAGATGCTGATTTTGTGGGTTTATTCCGATCGAATTCTTTGGAGTTATGGGAAAATTTTGGATGGTAATTGAAGAGGACATTGTGGGCTTTCCAATGGTATCAAAATTCGATAGTTTTGATGGTCAAAAATTGCCGAAAAATTGCCTTAAAAGTTGCCCAAAAAATCTGAAAATTTGGACAGATTTTCAAAATTTTTGGGCAACTTTTAAAGCAATTTTTCGATCGAATCCCTTGGAATTATAATGAGATTTTGGGTGGTAATTGAAGAGGATATCACGGGCTTTCCAACGGTATCAAAATTTGACATTCTTTATGGTCGGAAGTTGTCGAAAATTTGCTGTAAAAGTCGTCCAATTATTTGAAGAGACGAGTGGTGAATGAGTAATTATATGAAAAAAGATGAGTGAACATTTAGTAATCTGTGAAAGATGAGTGAGCAAGTAGTAATCAAGTGTAAAGTTCAGTGATTATTGGTTAAATTTACTCCAGTTCTATATATACGTAGCAGTTCACACTTGGCCATTCCACTGAGGGGGAAAAATAGTTTTCTCCATGGCTATCTGGTTATCAAGATCTAGAAAAATTGCTCATTTTCTAAAGCCAAAAATTGCTTATTTTCTACAGCCAAAAATTGCACCTTCAGAATTTTCCTACAAAATTTATGAAAATCATGTAAATTCTTCTTCTTTCGGAACTTTGAGTGGTGAAAATATCAGAAGCCCATATGTATTCCTTGATAATTCCGCCACGATGTCGGCTTTGAACCGCCAATGGAGGCGGACGGAATCCACCAGAGCCGGCGAACATGAAGATGAAAACCAGGTAAATTTTTAATTATTATTATTATTTTTTTTTTTGTGTAAATTATGTGGCATGCTAAGGCATTTGAAACTGAATGTGAGTTTTGGAAAGAAAATTCTTGTTTAATATTTTAAAATTTCTTATAGGAAATTAGTGTTTTACAGAATAGATAATATAAAAAAATTTCTTTAGAAGAAGATTTAGCCTCCCCATTTGAGCTATGTTATTGTAAAAATAAGAATAAAAAAAAATAATCGTTATAAGTTCTACACAAGAGATAAAAAATCAAATATAAAATTTGATGTGATAGATAACAATCATATTTTTCATTTTAATGAAGAAATAATGGTTTTGAACATGCCTTATTTTATTTCATGATTTATTTATTACAGTCAGTCAAAAACATTTGTTCAGGTACGAACAGTAGCTGGGATGATTGGAAAGGTAGTAAATATCTAATAAATAGGTTCATTGAATTGTGCGAATTCCATGTCAATTTTTTTTTTTTTTTTTAATGAGGTGTCCCAACTTACGCCAGACTATATCCTCGTCCCTGAACCTTCGGCCCCCAGGGAGGTAAATCGCAGGTTGTGCCCTTGTTGGTTCCCAGGTTCCCACATGACTTTTACTCCTTCCCCAAAGGAAGCCTCCTCCATGGTTATTACATCACCAAGCTGCTCCAACCATTCCTCTGGTTATTACATCACTTGGCTTCTCCAACCAGAAATCGAACTCCCCACGCTTGGTTCCAGAGCCCCCCAATGTGATTGTTCCGCCAACTTAGATATGCCCTGGGGGGCGAATTCCATGTCAACTTTATTCTATGGCCTAGTTGATATAGTTTATAAGGGTAAAATAGACATTTACTGCTGAAACGAGCAACCAACTGCAAACAAAGCCCTAAAATTCATATTTTAATTTAAGAAAAATTCAAAAATTAATTTTAAACACATATTTCAGCAAACCCACAATTTTTTATCAAAGTCTATTAAAAAACTAATGTTAATTCCCACCAAATAGGGAGAATGTATGATACACTGATGGATGATTTTACAACTATATAGGCCCGAAGTCTTGAGGTTGAGTTATAGATTGACTCATATTTGAAATGGAGTGATCAATTGGGTAAAGTCTATGACATGCCAATCGACTACTTGAAATCGACCCGACCTATTGCTTATTAATTATCATCTACATCTATCAATTCAAAAATAATAATAATAATAATTACTAATTAATGCCACCATCTTTTTATCATATGGGGCCCTCTTCAATGGTTAATTAGATTGGACTAGAATGACCCATCTGACAAGTGTGGTGACTTTTGCATGATGGGTAGAAAGGGGCCCAATATATGAATTTGACCTATAATCCAATAGTCTAGAAAATTTTTGAACTAATCCAATAGTCTAGAAAATTATGTGATTTAGGCCTTGGGCCACATTTAAAGGAGAAAAAAAAAAAACATTCTTTAACAGAGAATTAAAATCATTTCAACCACACATTCTTCTATAAAATAATATTACACGCAAATTCAAAACTTTTTCTTATTTCTTAACCACACATTTTTCATCAATACACTATTCAAAAATGCATTTTAATTCCAATAATGTGGCTCAAACAAGGGTTTAATTAATTATTTTTAGCATAAAAAACTATAAAATGGAACAACCCTTTCACTAGCTTGTCGTTTCTCATTTTTGATGATGACATGAGAAAGCCCAAAGGGCTGGCCCACCATTAGGTAGAAGAGTCTATTGAATGAGAGTCACACTCATCGTGCCCTGAGACTTGGGATATTTAAAACAAATAGAATTTTACGAAATACACCTTGATTTCAGTGTAATTAGTAATTACACATTACATACCGTGTTTTATTAAACGAATTTGTTTGTTTATAATATTGTGTTTATTTAAATAATGAGAATTTCCTTAAACATGTATACATATAAATTTTGGTGGAGTGGAGCAGTAAAAAACTTGTTCCAAAATCAATACTATAATTAAGTAATCGTTTCTTTCGAATATTTGTTTTCAATTTCCAATCAACAATGGGTAAATCTATAGGACATACACGAACACATACTTGACAAACAATGCATTTATCAAATTCAAGGTGGATTCGTCGGACCTATTTTTTCTGATCCTTCAAGAAAATAATTCATTCTCTACATAAAAAATAGGAGGTAGAACCAATGAAGTTTTCTTTTTCGAACGAAACTTCATTCATCCTTCATTTGTCGAATCGTACGAGTAAGTGATGCTCATGCCACAACTTGTAGTAGTGAAAACGAACTAGCTTTAATTATAATTTTTCTGCTAGCTGCATACTGCAAAATTATCAAAACATAAAGTTGGTGAAGTTTCACAATCAGAGATTCCACTTTTCAAAATTTCAATGTCAAAATTCTTGCACTTCCTTATTAGTATTTGATGAAGTAGGCCTTGGATTTTCCCGGTGGACGAGTCTCGTTCACTCACGAGATGAAATTCATATCAGAGGCAGCAGATAAGAGAATACCGTGTTACCGCGTCCTCAGTGATGATGGCTATCCAAATTGCTGGCAGCAGATTCGAGCAGGTATAGAATTCCATCTACTTTTAAGTATATCAATATTATTGATGCAATGATTCAGTACAAGTTGAAAGATCACATCTAATAGCTTAAATTTAGTATTTAACTCTTCCAAATAACTCAATATTTTTCCAGTGAAAACCAGCCATGTTTGAAGAGAGAATCAAATCTACACATACATTACAAGATTTTGTTACAATGCTCGCCTTAGTTTTAACTTTTATACAAAATGTACTAGGTGGACAAAGAAACAGCAGTAAAGATGTACAAAAGCATGGTTGCACTTCAGATAATGGATAACATCTTTTACGAAGCTCAAAGGCGGGGGAGAATATCCTTCTATCTCACCTCGACAGGGGAAGAGGCTATTAACATTGCGACAGCAGCTGCTCTCACTTCAGACGATGTTATATTACCTCAGGTAAGACTTGCTCGGGATGCAATAAAGGTGGCGTTTGGTTTAAGTTCTTAAAACCTTCATTTTCTGTGCTTCGTCTTCTATGCCAATGGTTAGTCACTCAGTGTATTGTTAAGTTATTACGCTAAGTTTCTGAACTTTGTTTTGCTCCAAAGTAATCAATGGAGCTTGCTTTTTATTTCACTTTGCTCACTTGATTAAAATCCGTTCATTTTCATAAGGGAATGTCCGACGTGGAAATGGTAATTTGTTGTAACATCAACATAGAGATCTTCCAAGTCGGGGTTCTGTTATAGAAAAATTAATGATAATATTAAACATTTATTACACAATGCAGTACCGGGAGCCTGGAATTCTATTATGGCGTGGTTTCACCCTGCAAGAATTCGCCAACCAGTGTTTCGGCAACAATGCTGATCATGGGAAAGGCAAGCAAATGCCGATACATTATGGCTCTAACAAACACAATTTCTTCACCATTTCGTCTCCTATTGCGTAGGTTTTGAGCTCCTTCTTCCTATTAAAACTTTGCAATTTTCGGAATTTCATTGTCCAAGAAATTTGTTGTTGGATTTTCCATGTCAGTACACAGCTACCTCAAGCTGCAGGTGTTGCTTATTCTCTAAAGATGGATAAAAAGGAGGCGTGTTGTAGCCTTCACTGGAGAAGGCGGGACCAGTGAGGTAAATCTCCTTCAAAATTTAGAACGGATACTATGGCCCCGTTTGAGCCACATAATAGAAGAATGAGAATGAAAAATATAGCCGTTACGAGCTCCACACAATAGATAGATTTTCAATTATGGTGGCTTGATATGATGGATGACGATCATATTTTTCATTTTAATTAGTAAATAATGGGAAACAAACAGGGACTATAATCTTATAAATAACGAAAGAAACAAAAAGCTGCCATTGCTTTTTATTTTTGTCGTAATTGATATATTCTAAAACTAGATATTTCGTTTCACAGGGAGATTTCCATGCTGGTTTAAATTTTGCAGCGGTTATGGAAGCTCCGGTTTTGTTTATCTGCCGCAACAATGGATGGGCCATTAGCACCCCTATATCAGAACAATTTCGAAGTATGTATATTTCGCCATTCGATCTCCTATACTATTAAGAACAAAATTTAGAATACTATATATTATGGACATATACATCCCTCAAATAAGAAAGATACTAATTGCATATCGAAAGCACACATGCTTAGTATCTTTTAATGTACTATGTGGAGTCTAATTATGTTGTTAATTTATCCTGTCGACTGCAGTTAGGAGAGTCCATATATATATTATGTCATCCTAATATTCCCACCATAAGCCATATGGTAGGAATATTTGGAGGAGGTCATTGAGAGAGAGGCGTGAGATCACGAGGACACTTCATTATAATGAAAAACTTGCAGCAATAAATGGTTGAGCTCGTTCGAGGGTGAACCACACAAAATTTTTGTGTGCGCTGTGTATTTCTATTCCATTCTGACTTCACTTTATCGTTTAATACCTGGCAGGCGATGGTGTAGTCGTAAAGGGCCAAGCATACGGAATTCGTAGTATAAGGGTCGATGGAAATGATGCACTTGCTATTTATAATACTATTCGTGCAGCTCGGGAAATGGTCATACATGAGCAGAAGCCTGTATTAGTTGAGGTTAAACTGGAACCCTTTTGTTCTCTCGATGTTAAATTGTTCGTTTCTCTTAATCCATCTGGAACTTTTATACAAAATTTTAAGTCGTCTACTACTTACGTTTTTGGATCATTAGGCCCTCAGTTATCGAGTAGACACCACTCTACTTCAGATGATTCCACCAAATATCGGCCCGTAGATGAGATCGAACACTGGAAAACAGCGAGGAACCCCTTAGCTAGATTTCGAAAGTGGGTTCACAAAAACGGTTGGTGGACAGACGACGAAGAATCCGAGCTTCGTGGAAGCATCAGGAAGCAGGTCAAATATTATATCAATGCTGCATATTTTTTTTTTTAATAAATCTTTCCATATTTGGATAGACACATTTGAAAAAGTGATTAAATAGCACCAGACATTATTAATAAGTGAACAGAAATGAAACTTTTACGGATATATTGCATAGACAGTTTTACAGATGTTGAAATGGCAGCACCTGATTAGCTATTTAACTTTGTTTTTTGTCCCAAATCCAACGAAATGTTGCCACGTGACATTCTACGAACCCATCTGTGCAATTTGTCGTTATATGTATAGCATTGTTCAGAAATGAATTGTAATTTCCAAACTTGTATTGTTCTGCTTGCAGCTACTGAATGCAATTCAAGTGGCAGAGAAAATGGAGAAACCCATGCTTGCAGAAATGTTTTCAGACGTCTATGATGATCTCCCATCGAACCTTCACGAGCAAGAGAAATCTCTTAGAGAAACCATTAAACGACACCGGCAAGATTACCCTACCGATGTGCCTGTATAGATGATTCTGAAGGGAATTTCAACTGAGAGTCAATGACAGTAGACCAAATCCATAGTTGCAATATTTAGAACGGAATTGCAAAATCTAGTGCTGTGTGCTACACTATACTTGCAATGATCTGTCCCTCGGTGCTCTCTGAATGGTATCCTATTGAGCCCTTGTTTGAGCCTCATTTTTTCTATTAAAATACATTTTTCAACAATGATTTAACCTCGCTTCAACTACACATTTTTCAATAAAATAATATTATACGTAAATCCATAATTTTCTTTATTTTTTAACCACACATTTTTCATTAAAACATTATTCGAAAATGCATTTTTTGACAAGAATGAACTCAAACAAGGGCCAAATTTGTGTCTTCCAACTTCAATCCTACACTTTGAGGACAAATATGTAATTTTTCTTAAATTTAAAAAAAAAAAAAAAAAAAATATATATATATATAAAATATATATATATATTATAAGAAGGTTATAAATCAAATTATGAAAATCCTACTCAGTACTCTTCTTAATTGAAATATCTTTTGATAAGATAATATCCTTTTTTTTTAAACTTTTATTTGAAATTAAAAAAAAAATATGCCATCTGAGATATATGAACTTGGACCTAACTCCATTATTGCAAGGACACCACTGGCACTCCCTTAACAAAAATTCTTAAAACAGTGATCATTTTCTCCTTTCTATGCGTTTCACTAGCCTTTCCACTAGGCCTTTACGCTTTGAAGGGTCACTCAGGACTTATTTTAAAAACAGTTTAAACTTTAACTTGGAGTTAAGACATGCTCTTATCATATACTCAGCATGAAACATAAAACTTTACAAAGAATTTACAGAAACAAAAAATCTTATAAATAACATTTGTTCTTTAAAGATCTGGGACTAATATTGATTATTAGTACCATATCTTAGAACAATAAAACATACCTACCGGAATGATCCATCAGTAGTTTAAAAACATAAATATTTTTTTTTTTTTAGGATATTATCATATCTAAGAATAAAAACAATTAAGAATTTCCCTTTCGGGAAAGAGAAAAAATTAGAACATGTTTCAAAGAAATAAAGAACTTTTATTATTTTTCTCTATTCTGTGTGTTTACAAGTGAAAGAATGACTTCTTATATAGGAAAGAAAAAGAAAGAAAATGCGTTTTTCAAAAGCAAAGAATCTTTGCTTTTTCAAAAACGTCAAAAAGAAAACAGTAAAAAGTTTAATTATCAAATCTTACTTTATAAAACAGTAAGATTCGTTACAAAGAAAACAGTAAAAAGTTTGTCTCTCGTACAATAATTTTTGATCTTTTTGAAAGTTTGCCAAGTGTCTCTTTTCCAGCTAAGTCTTTCTTTGTATGATCAGATCTTTCTTGAATCCTTATCTTGTTTCATAATTGTGTCGGCCAATGCTGTCTAAAGATGCTCCTCCATCAGTATAGCCTTCTGAATTATTGTCCTCTTCTGTATTATCCTCATAATCTTCTTTAAGATCAATTTTCTTTTTGCCTTTGTTTTTCTTCTTTATCTGCAACTTCTTTTTCTTTGAGGTCTTTTGTTTAACTTGTTGCTGTAATTCTTCTATTTTATCAAACATTTCTTTCAATCTTTTTATATCTGATTGAGTAATTTGCTCTGGATCTTGTGATGATTGAAATGATTTTGATATAAGATTAATTGGGCTTTTCTGTTTTAAATCTATTGGACTAATTAATCTAGTAGCAGAATTTACAGTCTGCTGAGTCTGTTCTTCAGTAAATTTATTTTCTGTAACAGGATTTTCAGCCTGTTGAGTCTGATTAAATTGAAAAGTAAGAGAATCAACAGCCTCCTGAGTCTGTTGGACTTTTGGTAAGTCCAAAACAATAAACGGATTTGTTAAGTCTTTACCAGCTACCGTTTGAGTTGGACTAGCTATAGACTTCTTGGGCTCTATAGTGCCTGAAACTGTCTGAAAATCCGAATTTAAAATTTTTATTTTAATAATTTCTTGTTCTAGATCAGAAATCTTCTTTTGTAAAGCCAATTTTTCTTGTTGTAAACTCTGATTTGATTCATTTAAAATTTTAAAATTTCTAGTCATGCATTCGCAATGTTGACAAAAATTTGAAGAAAAATCTAATGGCTGATCTGAAACATTTTTTAATGAAGGGTCTATAAAATAATTAATTCCTAAATGCTTTTTGCATTCGTCTAATGCTTCTGAAACTGAATAAAAACCTTTATATAAAGGGTTTGGAAAATTTTTTATACAATCTGATACCTCTGTACTAGCTATCATACTTTTTTCTATATTTTGAATTCTTTCATCATAAATAGTTAATAAAACTTTATTTCCTAAATTTTTTCTCATTAATCATTTAATTCCTATTACTATTAATCCTAGATGCATAAATCTAAAATTCTTTTTTAGATTCTTCTGATATTAATGATAATTGTCTTACTTGACCATCTAAACATTGAATTGATACTTCTCTAGTATCTCTAAAAAATTGGGTTCTTGATTTTAAGATGCATATAAAAGATTCATTAAAATTAGGAGTAATTAAAAAATCAGAAAGTCCACATAGATCAGCAGCTTTTATAGTTAGAAAACATTCAAAAATTATTAAAGGAAAAAGTAGAATGGTAATTAATTATAAAAGATTAAATGATAATACAATAGATGATACCTATAATATTCCAGATAAGACAGTTTTAATAAATAAGATTCAAAATTGTAATATTTTTAGTAAGTTTGATTTAAAATCTGGTTTTTGGCAAGTAAAGATGCACCCAGATTCAATAGAATGGACAGCCTTCACTAGCCCACAAGGACATTTTGAATGTTTAGTTATGCCATTTGGATTAAAAAATGCCCCTAGTATTTTTCAAAGAAAAATGAATAGTATTTTTAGTAAGCATAATAAATTTATTATAGTTTATATAAATGATATTTTAGTATTTAGTAAAAATAGGTGAGAACATAGAGGTCATTTACAGATTCTTTTTTCAGAATTTATTAGACATGGTATCAGAGCCTTTGTTCATGTGCTGGTAATTTCAGTATATTTCTTCAGATTTTAGAAAAGGTATAATTCTTTGAATCTTTAGAAAATTCTTACTTGTTTTATGATTTTTAGAATTTTACTTGTAGATCTAGAAAAAATATCCTATAGTTTTACATTTTACAAAGAAATAGAAGAGATTTTTGAATACAGTATAGAATTTATTTCTTTTGAAAAACATAAATCTATAGATTATTTATTTTCTATCTTACAAGTAACTAAAGATTTATATCCAGAATTAAAAGAACAGATTTTATATTTCTTGAGTTGGTTTATTTTCTATATTATTTAATTTTTTATTTATATTTTCTATTGCTTCTGTAGTCTTAAGATCTGGAAATTTTTCTTTATCTTCTACTTTAGAAATTTTGTTTAAAATAGCTGAATTTTGTTCTTTAATAAAATCTAGATTTTCACAAATTTTATTAATATCTTTCTCAATATTAAAAATTCTTTTTCCTAAAGAACTTACTTCTCCAATTAATTTATTAACCTCTTTTATTAAAAGATCCAGTTTAAAACTCTAGGAGGATGACCACCTAAATATTGATATTGTTCTGGTTCTGTTTTAATTTGCATAATTTCATCTGTTAATTCTTTGTAATTACTGTCATCTGAAATTTCTGTTTTATTATCAATTTCCTCTATATTAATTCCTACTCTTATATTTTTACAATTATCATAATATAAATATTCTTTTTTTCCTGTTTGTTTATTTAAAAACAAGTGATCTTCTAATTTTAAGAGTTCTGTGAGAGATAATTTCATTTCTAATTCTTTAGGATAAATTATTCTGTCTTCTATTTCTATTTCTACTGCATTAAGAAATTCTTCTGTTTTTTGTTGTTCTTCATTATTATTATTATTATTATTATTATTATTATTATTATTATTATTATTATTATTATTATATTCTGTTTCAGAATCATTATTTCTATTTATATGACTATAATTTTCAAACCTTAGACTAATTCTTCCATGTAAATCTTTATATGTTATAGCTTCTTGAGGAGCTAAAATTGGTGTGTGCTAAATTAGTCTGAGATAATGATGAACTTGAACTGCCAATTGTTGGCAATCCTGGTCCGGGACCTCTTGGTCTTTGCATCTGCAAATAATCAATTATATTCTTTATTTTTAATTATTCTACTTAAAATATCTGCTATCTGATTATCACTACCTTTAATATGTTCAAAATTAATTACTAATCCAGTATTAGTAATTCTATCTATAAAATCTAACCATCTTCTTCTATTACTTCTTTTATTTTCTAATTTTATTTTATTAACAAAACTTACTATTGCTTCACAATCTGTTCTTAAAGTAATTTCTTTTTTAGAAATAATAAATAATTCAAAAGAATCTAATGCATAATTAACTGCAAGTAATTCTAAGTCTATACTACTTATATTACTTTTTTCTTTATAGTTTCTACTATTATATCTTACAATTTTTTCACTATCCTTATCTGCATATTTATTGGGTTTTGCAATTAAAATTGCTCCCCATCCTGTTATGCTTCCATCTGTTTCTATAATTAAATAGTCTGTTTCTAATGGCATAGATAATTTAGGTAAGTCTTTTAACTTTTATTTTATTTTTTGGACTAATTTAATATCTTCTATATTAAAATATCTTTGACATTTTGGTGAAGTTTTTCCATATAAGGGTCCTGCAATTTTTCCTAAATCTTTAATAAAGGGTCTAGCATAATTAACTAATCCTAAAAATTTTTGTAACTGCTTAAGGTCTTCAAATTTATCTGGAAAATCTAAAGCTTTTTGAGCTATATGAGGTTGTAACTCTATTTTTCCTTTTCCAATATTTACTCCTAAAAATTCTATATATTTTTTAAATAAAAAAATATATAATTTGTTAGTAACAGAACAAGTTATAGAAAACATGATTAGTAAACTAAAAAATTAGAAATTTTAGGAGAAAATGTATTAAAATATCGGGAAAAAGATAAAGTTTTTTGTGAAATAAAAATAAAAACATCCAGAATATATATATATACCAAAAGAGGGGGGTCCCTAAAAAAGGTTAGAATTTCAAGGATTTGGAGGCTGTTGTAGGTGGTTGTTAAAACAAATTATGAAAATCCTACTCAGTACTTTTTTTAATTGAGATATCTTTTTCTTTTGATAAAATAATATCCTTTTTTTTTTTTTAAAAACATGCCATCTGAGATATATGAACTTGGGCCTAACTCCATTCTTGTAAGGACACCACTGGCACTCCCTTAACAAGAATTCTTAAAACAGTGATCCCTTTCCCTCTTCTATGCGTCTCCTAGCCTCTTCACTGGGCCTTTACGCTTTGAGAGGTCACTCAGGACTTATTTTAAAAACAGTTTAAACTTTTAACTTGGAGTTAAGACATGCTCTTATCATATACCCAGCATGAAGCATAAAATTCTTTACAAAAATCATAAAACTTTTACAAATTAAAAATTTTATGGACAGAAATTGTTCTTACAAGATCTGGAACTAATATTAACTATTAGCACCATATCTTAGAACTATAAAGCATACCTACCGGAATGATCCATCGATAGTTTTTAAAACAACATATTTTTGTGGGATATTATTCTATCTAAGAATAAGAACAATTAAGAATTTCCCTTTCGGGAGAGAAAGAAGATTAGAACATATTTGAGAGAATTCAAAACTTGTATTGTATATATTTTCTTATGTGTTTACAAATGAAAGAATGGTCGCCTTATATATGGGAGAAAAGAGAGAGGAAGCGTTTTTCAAAAGCAATGAATCTTTGCTTTTTTCAAAACGTCAAAAAAAAAACAGTAAAAAGCTATGCTATCAAATCTTACTTTATCAAACAGTAAGATTTTTTACAAATTTTTCAAAAAGAAAACAGTAAAGATTCTACTTTTCGTACAATAATTCTTGATTTTTTCTTGAAATCTTGGACAGAAGTCTTCAAACTCTTGTTTATCACCATAACTTTTTGTCAAATGTCTGAATGAATCCTTATCTTGTTTCATAATTGTGTCTGCCAATGCTGTCTAAAGAGTCTCCTCCGTCAGTACATCCTTCTGGATTATCATCTTCTTCTGAATTATTGTCTTCAAAATTATCCAAATCTTTTTCTTGTTCAATTTTCTTTTTGTCTTTATTTTTCTTTTTAATCTGTATTTTCTTTTTCTTTGTAGTACTTTGTTTAACTTGTTGCTGTATTTTTTCAATTTTCTCAAACATTTATTTGATTCTTCTAATATCTGATTGAGAAATCTGTTCTGGATCTTGAGCTGATTGAAATGATTCTGGAAAATTAATTGGACTTTTCTATTTAAGATCCATTGGACTAATAAGTCTAGTAGCAGAATTTCCAGTCTGCTGTGTCTGGTCTTCAGAAATATTTTTATTTTCTGTAACAGGATTTTCAGCTTGTTGAGTCTGATTAAATTGAAAAGTAGGAGAATCAACAGTCCCCTGAGTCCGTTGAGCTTTTGGTAAGCCCAGAACCATAAACGGATTTGATAAGTCTTTACCAGCTTCCGTTTGAGCTGGACTAGCTATAGAATTCTTGGGCTCTATAGTACCTGCTTGTGTCTGAACAATTGGATTTGAGATCTTTAAATTAATGATTTCTTGTTCTAATTCAGAAATTTTCTTTTGTAAAACTAATTTTTCTTGTTGTAAAGACTGATTGGATTCATTTAAAATTCTTAGTCATACATTCACAATGTTCACAAAATTTAGAAACATAATCTAAGGGCTGATCTGAAACATTCTTTAAAAAAGGGGCAACAAAATAATTAATTCCTAAAAATTTTCTACATTTTTCTAATGCTTCTGAAATTGAATAAAATCCTTTATAAAGAAGATTTGGAAAATTCTTTATACAATCTGAAACTTCTAACCAGGTATGATAAATTTCTGGAAGTCTTCCTTGTAAAACAATATAACACTTAAATTTTTTATGATCTTGACTAAAGTGTTCTGAAAGAGCATTTAAACATGCTAAAAAATATTTTTGGTCTTTAGGATTCTTATTATAAGAAATCCATAGATTATCTAAAATACATTTTTCTGATTTTGTAACTGAAATATGAGATAATGTCTTAAAGCTAATATTACTGTTTGGAAAACAAAGTAATTCTACGTTACCAAATCTTAACTTGTCATGAGTCTGTGCTAAATTAGTCTGAGGAAATGATGAACTTGAACTGCCAATTGTTGGCAATCCTGGCCCGGGGCCTCTTGGTCTTTGCATCTGCAAATAATCAATTATATTCTTTATTTTTAATTATTCTACTTAAGATATCTGCTATCTGATTATCACTACCTTTAATATGTTCAAAATTAATTACTAATCCAGTATTAGTAATTCTATCTATAAAATCTAACCATCTTCTTCTATTACTTCTTTTATTTTCTAATTTCATTTTATTAACAAAACTTACTATTGCTTCACAATCTGTTCTTAAAGTAATTTCTTTTTTAGAAATAATAAACAATTCAAAAGAATCTAATGCATAATTAACTGCAAGTAATTCTAAGTCTATGCTACTTATATTACCTTTTTCTTTATAATTTCCACTATTATATCTTACAATTTTTTCACTATCTTTATTTGCATATTTATTGGGTTTTGCAATTAAAATTGCTCCATATCCTGTTATACTTCCATCTGTTTCTATAATTAAATAATCTGTTTCTAATGGCATAGATAATTTAGGTAAATCTTTTAATTTCTCTTTTATTTTTTGGACTAATTTAATATCTTCTATATTAAAATATCTTTGACCTTTTGGTGAAGTTTTTCCATATAAAGGTCCTGCAATTTTTCCCAAATCTTTAATAAAGGGTCTAGCATAATTAACTAATCCTAAAATTTTTTGTAACTGTTTAAGGTCTTCAAGTTTATCTAGAAAATCTAAAGCTTTCTGAGCTATATGAGATTGTAATTCTATTTTTCCTTTTCCTATATTTAAATTTTTTAGAAGAATATTATGAAAGCTTTAAGGAAGAAGAAGAAATATGTTTAGATTTTGTAGAAATTGAAAAAATATATAATCTGTTAGTAACAGAACAAGACATAGAAAATATGATTAGTAAACTAGAAAAATTAGAAATTTTAGAAGAAAATATATTAAAATATTGGGAAAAAGATAAATTTTTTGTGAAATAAAAATAAAAAATCCAGAATATATTATTAAGACAAAAAATATTGAAGCTACAAACCAAGATCAGGAAGATTTTAATATGCATATAAAAGATTTATTAAAATTAGGAGTAATTAAAAAATCAGAAAGTCCACACAGAACAGCAGCCTTTATAGTTAGAAAACATTCAGAAATTATTAGAGGAAAAAGTAGAATGGTAATTAATTATAAAAGATTAAATGATAATACAATAGATGATGTCTATAATATTCCAGATAAGACAGTTTTAATAAATAAGATTCAAGATTGTAATATTTTTAGTAAGTTTGATTTAAAATCCGATTTTTGGCAAGTAAAAATGCACCCAGATTCAATAGAATTGACAGCCTTCACTAGCCCAGAAGGACATTTTTTGAATGGTTAGTTATGCCATTTGGATTAAAAAATGCCCCTAGTATTTTTCAAAGAAAAATGGATAGTATTTTTAATAAACATAATAAATTTATTATAGTTTATATAGATGATATTTTAGTATTTAGTAAAAATAGGCGATAACATAGAGGTCATTTACAAATTCTTTTTTCAGAATTTATTAGACATGGTTTAATTATAAATAAAAAGAAAATGTTTTTATTTAAAGAATATATAGAATTTTTAGGAGTAAATATAGGAAAAGGAAAAATAGAATTACAACCTCATATAGCTCAGAAAGCTTTAGATTTTCCAGATAAACTTGAAGACCTTAAACAGTTACAAAAATTTTTAGGATTAGTTAATTATGCTAGACCCTTTATTAAAGATTTGGAAAAAATTGCAGGACCTTTATATGGAAAAACTTCACCAAAAGGTCAAAGATATTTTAATATAAAAGATATTAAATTAGTCCAAAAAGTAAAAAAGAAATTAAAAAATTTACCTAAATTATCTATGCCATTAGAAACAGATTATTTAATTATAGAAACAGATGAAAGTATAACAGGATGGGGAGCAATTTTAATTGCAAAACCCAATAAATATGCAGATAAAGATAGTGAAAAAATTGTAAGATATAATATTGAAAATTATAAAGAAAAAGGTAATATAAGTAGCATAGACTTAGAATTACTTGCAGTTAATTATATATTAGATTCTTTTGAATTGTTTATTATTTCTAAAAAAGAAATTACTTTAAGAACAGATTGTGAAGCAATAGTAAGTTTTGTTAATAAAATGAAATTAGAAAATAAAAGAAGTAATAGAAGAAGATGGTTAAATTTTATAGATAGAATTACTAATACTGGATTAGTAATTAATTTTGAACATATTAAAGGTAGTGATAATCAGATAGCAGATATTTTAAGTAGAATAATTAAAAATAAAGAATATGATTGATTATCTCTTTTAGAATTTACAGATGCAAAGACCAAGAGGCCCCAGGCCAGGATTGCCAA